GCCGTTCCCTCGGCAAAGTTCTCGTTGCGAGGCGGTCTGGGATTCAATGCTCCTCCGGAAACCATAATATCCATCGTTTTCTTTAAACATTGAATTTCATAAGGTACACCCGGTTGATTCATCGATGCAGTTAACGTTCGACTGCGATAAGTCCCCGTAAGTGAAAAGAATCGAAGCGTAGAACGGCCACACCTCAGGGCAAAACAGACACGCGATGGGGTAATCTCTGAGTGCAGACACCGCAGGTCCCCTGTTCAATGGCGGGACCCCTCCAACAGAGATTAGAAGCTGCCGGGGACATTGTCCCGGCAACAACACGAATCATTGGAAGCCATTGTACGAGATTAGTCCGGCTATGCCACATTGCACTTAACAACTGCAGCTACTCCCACCCCTCTCGCGACGTCGCCCCCGATCGCTGTTAGATTTACTCCTCGGCAATCGAGCACTCGGAAAACCAATTTCCTCCTGAATATTACATTTTCCAGCGTTCTCCCTCAGAACTGTTTACTCCTAACTCCAGACTTTATAACGAAATCCAACGTGAAAAGTCTGCAATAAAATATAAAATAACATTCCAAAAATCAGCTAATTACAATCCACCTCAGAATCCTTTGAAAACCGGACAACGATAAAGCCAGCGAAAACAGTGCCTTATTCACCTCGATCGCGAGGAACGCCGAGCGAAGTACCGTTCACACCCCAGAAACGCCGGAATCCAATAAAACCGACCCTCGTTGAAGGTATTCGCGAGAAGCGTTCCCCAGTCGCAGAGGAGCAAACAATCAGCGACGAAATTCCCTGACCGGGGGAACGGGACGCGAAAAAAGGCGAAGGCACGGAGCGTCGGGTTCATTCGGAGGCAGTTTCCGCCGCATTAGATCCGCGCCGATCGCGCTCGCTCCTCTGGGGGGGTCGCGTCTATTCGCCGGCGCGGAGCAGAAACATCGAAGAGGGAGCCGGTTCGGGGCAAACCGGTAGCCGAATGCTCCGGGGAATCCGGCTGCCGGGTTGACTCCCCTACCTGTTGTCACGCGATACCCAGGTTGCCCTTCGTAGCTTTTAAACCGCTTTCGAGTCACAGTCTCGCGTTCGCCTCGAAATCCAGGGGCCGGAGGGGATGAACACGGCCAACAGTTGCGTTAGCGGACCCGGCCGAGCTAAGAAGCAAAAGAAGAAGCTGCGGACAGCTCGCAGTTCGCCGGCGAAGCGGCGGAGGAGCCAGCGGAGCAGGTCCTGCGAGAAGAAAGAGCTTTTCTGGAGCGGCTCGCGGTGAATAGCACTCGAGCGCCCGGTCGCCGCTTATCCCCCCGCAGGCTGGCGGCAAGGGGGCAGCCTCCGAAAGAGAAAAACGCCGGGAGAAAGAGGGGCGGAGGCATTCGCGGCAATTGCAGTGTGAAATGCCATGTGTTCGCGCCGCGACGCGTCGCGCGCCTCTCGGTGTCGAGTGTTTTAAGCCTTTGAGTGGTAATACCGGGCACGTTTATAAATTGAGTCCTCGGTCCTGGAGGATTAGACCCGGGCCACGGCGATGGGAAATCTGTGTAGGGAACGCCGATACGCTCGCATAATGCCTCCTCGCCGTGGATTATTCCGCGTCATGAATCTACGAGAGCGTCCCCGCCGTGCGTCCTCTGTCTCCGGGCGTCCCCTATTTCTGTCCCCCCGGCATCCCGGTGTTTCCACCGCGCATCCGTTTCTCCGCGGTTTCATCGACTTTCCGAGTCCTCCGGATAACGACCCGCGGGGAATTATCGATCTCTCCCCCGCGCCGCGCGGATACTCGAGCTGATGTATCAATTAGGGCGGCGTCGGTTCGCGCGTCGACACGGAATTTCGATATGTTCGCGCGGCGATGCAGCTGGAATTGTTGTCGGGGATTTGTAGTTTCTTCGGGGATCCGTCGAAGAGGGATCCGTGTCTAATTACGGGATATCTGGGAGCCGGGGGAATGATATTCGAGACCGTTCGTTCGGTGTAGCTCGATCGGCTTAGCGATTAATCCTGCGTGTATATCGGAATGCTTTAATTGCTCGCCGGATTAAACCATTCGTGATGAATGTTTCCAGATGATTGCGCAAGTGGATAGAGGATACCGCCGGTACTTTTAAGGAGAGATTCCATTTGTTCGCGCTCGCGCATGGAAGTGTCCGTCGCCGCGAGCGGTTTCGAAATAATAGCTGATTTGGCAGCAAAATGGTTTTACTGCGTTGCCGGCCGCAAACGCAGGCAGCCGCAAGTCCAACAAAGGACTCGAAAGGCCGACATTGACAAACGATCCTCCTGTCGCGTTTCAATCCGACCAATAGAACGATAGAATCGTACAAGTCCCCGCCGACAGGTTTCCCCGCTCGCGTGCGCGTTTGTTTCCACGGGGTTTCCATCGAAAATGTCCAGGCGCGGCGGAACAAACCGATTGCGCGGCTAGTCCCGCGTAAATATTCCACTCTCCCGAGTCGTGTTAGGCTGAATAGATTCATTGAATGGTACATTATTGCTGAAACTCCTGGAATCCGCGCCGGCGAGCCGGAATTCGCCATGTTTCACCAACTATTTGTCAAACACACACTCGCCGCTATCTAGTCCAATCTTTGTTAGCTCGTTCGAAAAAGTTTTAATCGAATCGCTTTCACATTCCCGGTAATCACACGGTAAAATCTGTATCGGCGCGGCTGTCGCCCGCCTCTAGACGATTCCGTCAATCCTCAAGGTGCGCTTGACACATCCAGGGAACGTTGAATAATAGTTGCTTCCGTAACAGTTAAAAATCCTACACACGATACTTCCCAAAAAGAAATAACAAACCTCTCTTACATCTCAAGTAATTGTTTCAGCACTCAACACTTTGTCGTTCACCGATAACCAACGCTTCCAAATTACAAGAAAATAATTATAACCTAAAAGATAATTCCAAATACAAATTTTCCGTAACGTAAACGAGATAATAGAGTAATATAAGGCTTCTCATATCAAAGAATTAATAATTCCTTGTATCTCTGCTATAGAAAGTATAAGTAATACATAAAACTCTGTTTTCTGCAGTCCAAATTACAAGAAAATAATTATGTCCTGAAAGATAATTCCGAATACAAATTTTCCGTAACGTAAACTAGATAATAGAGTAATAAGACTTCTCATATCAAAGAATTAATAATTCCTTGTATCTCTACTATAGAAAGTATAAGTAATACATAAAACGCTGTTTTTCGCAGTCAACGTGTTAACAAATACTATTTAAATGCCCTCTAGCTTCTCCAATTGTACATCTCTCCCTTTAATACCTCCCCTCATCCCAAGAAAACCAATCGATACTCCGGCAAACGCAACTTCCCACGAAAACTCCTCAAAATCCGCGTCCTCCCGGCGACTGCCATTTACTAAATTCGATTCGTACGATCGGCAATCGGAGGGAAGAGGCTCCTAGACGGATCGTCGTTAGTTATTAATGTCGTCGGTTATCGACCAGAATCGGCCGCGGCAAGAACCGGCGCGCCGGGGTACCGGGTACGAATGAATGGGCGAAAGGGGAGAAACTACACCCCCATGGCGAGCCCCGTGTGCCGGCGCGGAGCGAAGAGGGCGAGACACGACGGAGGCCACGGGGAAATTTCGCGTGCGGGAAAGTGCGCGCGCGGTGCCGGCGGAATATTTAAATGGCAAGGGTTGCCAGCCGGTGCCTAAGTGGCACTCTCGCCTCTGCTAACCGTCTTTTACGTTTTCCGGTGGAAACAACGAAGCCCGACGTTAAATCCGCGCGCAGCGTCGATGCTTCCTCCTTCGGGCCCCCATCGCGTGCCGCTTGCAAGTTTCAATCTTCCTTCCCTCCTTCCCTCCTTTTTTTTCCCCGTTCGAACTGTACTCTCGCCCCCCGCCGACGCCGCTACGCGCCGGTTTTTTGGGGAGGAAAGAGCAGCCGGCGCGGGCATTTTTTTCCATCCTCATCCTCCGATGGAAACGACGCCACCCCTCGCACGGGTGGTCGAATAATAAACCGTAGTTTCCGTAGTTCGACGGAAGACTGTTAACCTTTTTTCCTTCGTTTTATGGGGGTCGGACGGGCTGCGCGCGGAGGACGCCCGAGGAGCGTCCTTTCGAGGATTTAATTTAGAACGGAACGCGAGCCTCCCGGTTTATGCGGCCACTCGGTATAAATTAGCGCGGCTTTTTCGCCGACTTTTTTGCGCGACCGACGAGATCCTCGGGAAGATTGAATAGATTTAAGAGCTGGGGCTGCTTATCGCGGGGATATCGGAAGTATGCTGGAAGGTACTCGATTATTCGAAGGTATCTGAATACCTGATTTAATGGGTATATATTCGTATCACGTAATTAACCCTAACTGGACCACGATGTGACTTTGAGTCGCAGTTGAAATTATTACCTAAATTTTTTCATCATTTCGTATTCCATGTCCTAAAGATGCTTTGTACTAAATTTGGGCCCTATGAAGAAAAACAATAACATTTCAATCGTTCCTTTTATTCTCATAAGTGAGAGTCACATCGTGTTGGTTCGTTAAAAACACATGATACGATTAAGGTTAAACAAATGATCTACTGAAAACTACGCTTTCCTAACGTCTCACTTTTACCGAAATAATATTTCTTCAATGTTCCCATATTATAACTTTCTACTTAAATCCTTTGGTCATTTCATATTGCATTTGCAAAAGTCTGTCTGCTTTTAAAATTTGGGCAATAACATTTCAATCATTCCTCTTATTCTCATAGGTGACTGACACTCGCATCGTACGATTCGTTAATAAGTGTAATTAGCGTTAAGGTCTTTATCGTTCAGAGGAATCGAATGTATCCGGAATTCCCCTAACCGACACGTTGCGTAAATCAAGCGTTAAAAACGATTTGCCTGCGGACGCGTCGGCGATCCGCAGTCCAATCGAAAGTCCGATCGTCGACAGCTGCCTTCCGAGAAACAAATTCGCTCGGTGTTTCCAGGTACGGCATTATCTCGAATTACAAATCCTCTTTTCTGCGTTACAGGTGTAATCCCCTAGCCGGAAGGTTCCCACCGGTGATAGTGCAGTGGCCAAGTCTCCTCTCCAGCGTCTCGCGTCCCGGGTTTTCGGCGTAAGATGAACGAATGACCCGCGAGACGCCGACAAGCGAGCGATGAGGCCGAAATCGTGTTCCCTGTTCCTGCTGTTCTGCGTGCTGCTGCCGGGCCTGGTGCGCCCCTTCACATCCGGCGAAGGTGAGTGATGCCGACTGCGACGGGGGAAAAAAGTCAGGAGAGGGTGCGGAATCCCGTGGAATCGTTAAGCCTCTCGTCGCGTTTCGATCTCCGGCGGGCTCGACACGCGCTCTCCGTAAACCCGATACGAGAACTCGATGGTACTCGCGGATTAATCCGGGGGATTATCTATACCCCATTTCACTCTCTAAAACACGATAGGATTACGATGAAATATCGCGGAATTTTTTAAACTCGTACATTCAATTCGTGGCTGTCCGTTTGAGCTTACAATTACTTCTGCTTCGAACCGGGATCTTGCGGGAATTGTTCCTGATAATTGGGCGTTACGTAAATACGCCGAGTTCAGCTCGCAACCGTCGAGCGAGACTGCATGACTCCCGCCCGCGATAAATCGCCGGGAAGAGTTATACGCCGGATTCTTTCCCGGAAAGCTTCCTGAATCACAAGCTCGTGGATTTATGGAACTCTCTATTCTAGTTTCGGCTCTGGGAAATAATCTGCGCTAAGAATCGTCTTGCTCTAAACTTCGGCCTGAAGATTCTGAAACTTAACCCTTTGCGGAGGAATGTCGACATTTCGGCGAGATGAAATGTTTCGAAGACTAAGTCGCAAAATGATTCAATTACTCGAACACCAAGAAATCAGCACATAATTCCTGTTTTTCCTATCATTGAAGTAACCGATATATAATTTAGTTTCATCTGCTAAATATTTTATATATTTCAAAGAATCTTCGCAAAGGGTTAAATATTAAATTTTCTAATTTCACTGCGTCAAATCAAACGGTGGAGAGTCACCTCTCGAGTGCTGTAATTACTCGAACACCAAGAAATCAGCACATAGTTTCTGTTTTTCCCATCGTTTAAGTAACCAATATATAATTTAGTTTCATCTGCTGAATATTTCGTATATTCCAAGAATCTTCTAAAAGGGTTAAAATAAGACAACCAATCTCGAATTACGAAACTCATCAATCTTCCATAAACCTTGATCCACTAATCACTACACAAAATTCCACGATTTGTAAACCCAGTAACCATTGAAACATTCATCCAACCGAAAGAGTCCTAATACGCGAGCGCGGCCGAACCAGGAAGTCCGTCCGTCCCGTCATCCATCAGCCATTAGCCCGCGCTGTATATCACGATACGCTAACGAAGACTCGCGGCGGCGAGACCCGGATGACGATCGTGCGGTGAAATTTTCGAAAGTTCATAAGTCGCTTGGAAAACCGAGCGCGATCGGAAACGGCGGTCGAAACGTGAGAACGATCCGGCGTGACGGGATGTATATATCCCCCCTCCGCGGTCCGTCGCGGTCGTTAATTACCAGCGCGGCTAATATTTTTCAGCGGCGGCCGGTCGCCGCGGCGAAATTATGACGCGATATCGCGCGGCGATAAATCGCCGGCGTGATTATTCACGCCCGTTTTCACGCTCACGGACGCGTTCACCTGTCCGCGGCGAGTGAAAACGACTCGATTTTCTCGGCCGCCTCCGACGACGACGACGATGCCTCATCTTACGAAGACGCGCGGCCGAACGTGAGCGCGAGCGGAACGCCGGCGCGGGGCAATTTGCATCGGGGTTTCTCGTTATGGACGTGCACGGTGCATCGCTGGAACCGCGTTAACGACTGTAATTACACTCCCCGGGACGAATATATATGGTCTCCTCGTAAGGAACTTTTAGGGTACCAAATTGCAGCGTACCCGAGGAACGCTCGGATTCCTCGAGCAGTTGCCTGAAGTCGGATACCGTGAGAATGGAGTTTATTACGAGGGAATCGAGATATTTGCATGTCGGACGTACGCTGCGGGTATCTTAACATTCTTTTCCGTTCGCGGAAGGATTCGAATTGCTGGTTTACGGATAGTTGATTTCATAGATATTCCTACGAATACTTACAATAGTTTGAATATATAATCGATAAAAATTCCATTTGAATAACCTCGACGCTAATCTACATCTTTCAGATAAATCCTACTTACAACACTACTTCCTATCTTCAATTAACCCCTTGCACACTAACGAGAGAGACTCTTGATGAAGATTTCTAGACTAATTTAACAATCAATGTTCCCCATGGATCAAAAAACTGTTTCGCTATTATCAATGTACCCTCAAATTTCCTGAAGTAAGACGGAGAATTTTCTTGCGTTTCTTCCAAATTGTGAAAACATTACGAGCTTAGCGAGAGTAAATAGTACGCCAAGGGGTAAACAGTCTCGATCAAATCTCCCATTGACCGGTCCAATCATCGAAACGAAGCGCCGACTACCATCCGCGCTTTACTCTCGGAAACCCCTATCATTCAAAGCCTCCACGTCCGTCCGATCGAAACCGTAAACCGCAGACAAAAAAGATCCATTAGAGTAGATCGTCAAAGAGATCCCCGCGTGTGTTCCACGAGCGATAGTTCCACGGAGGGCTAACGAGCCGGCGCGCCGCGCGGCTCTGTGCGAGGTCTCCCGACCCCGCCGAGCGGAGTTCCACGCTAGGTGAACCACCGCGAGGCTCCTATCGTTCTATGTAACCATTTTTTCCGCGGCCCGTCATTCATCATCCGTCGCCGTCGCGATGACGAGAGCCCCGTTGGATGTCGGGGACGCTAATTAGCCGGCCACGTGGTCCCGCGGGAGGCCGGGGCGCGCGAAGAAAAGGGGGTTTCACCTCCGCGGACCCGAGGCCGGGTTTAAAACTAGCTCCGGGGGAGCGTAATCCATCATCGAAAACGGCTGGTGTAACGTAACCGTCCGGTTATGCCCACCACTAATCAGCGGCGCTGACTCGCCGTATAATTAGATCTGCCTGACCCCTCCAATCCTCCGCCGCCGCCTCCTCGCCCGGCCGCTCTCTCCTCCTTTTTCCTTTCCCGGGACCGTGCTCGTGACTAGCCCCGCCGCGCGCCGCGAACACGGGCTTCCTTTCTTGAGCGGGGAATCGCAAAAAGCATGTCCGTGTTCCCGGCTATCCCCCTGCGCGGCCGAGCGCGCTGATTGCCGACGTTACCCCCTGGATCATCCCGGCGCGGCGTCACGATCGATTGCGCCCGGTACGCCGGCCGAGCCGGCCGATTCGTAAATCATGGGCCGAGGGACTCTGCGATCGTGGCCTCGCGGGTAGAGGATCCCAGCGAGCGCGAGACGTTAATTGCGCTTGTCTAATTGCCACGGAAATTTAACCTGTTTATGGGCAGATCGCTCGTGAGGTTTCCAGTGGGCTTCGAACGCTTCGCGAGAGGTAGGGACTTAAGGTATTGTCCTTGAGACGGAGGTTTTCGAGCTTTCTGTGGTTCTGGTTTTGCGTGGAAATGAGGAATGAGAATGCGGTAGGTTTTTGTTGTTTTGAGATTTGGGAAATTAGACATTTCGGAGCTCCCAATCTGTAGATGTTATAATCGCTTGTATGATTTATTTCTTAAATGATTACGAGTACTCTGTCGTTAATAATTCATTAGGAAAGGACGTTTTGATACTTCTACGTTGATAACTTTAACGATTGATAATGGAAACGTAATGTTTAATATATATTCATGAAGCATAAATAACATTCGGATTTGTCAAGTTGAACGTTCTCGTCACGAGCCTAGATGTCGTAGGTCAAGTTTAACTCTCGCATTAGAAAGACGTGCCACGCAGACATTTTTCTCTCAAAATTGCTTCATCAGTTTGCTACATCACACATTATCTTCAAACGCACCACTCCACGAAAACTAATTACCAAACAAAATCACTCAACACATCCGCGTGAAGTAAGAAAACCAAAAATCCTCCGCACAAGACTACCAAACCTCCATTCCCAACTCAAGTTCCCAATCTAAATCAAAAACGCTCACTAATTAACAGATAAAATTACTCAACATCCGCGTAAAACAAGAAAACCAAAAATCCTCCGCAAGACTAC